TGAATTAAAACAAATTACTGTACAGTTATTCAAGTTTAAAAATCCATCGACATTTTCTATTGCTATTAAATTTGTAAAACTCCTCTATAAAAATAAATTATGTAAATGTATATGTTGGTTGATTTTGTTTAGTGGCATATCAACATCTCTATGGGTTATTTAATACCGAAATTTAAATATCGCGCACATAATTTTACGATTTCAACTACAGATACCTTGACATGATTGTATATTTTCAGGGTAAAAGTATGTTTTAGAAATATAGTTTGTAGATCATAAAATATATTTTTATATTTGTTTAGTGTTGCGTTGATTGTCATTTTGCTATAAAAATGTCTTGTTGGTCATTTTATTATAAAAATGTACAGTTGATTTTTGTGTTTGAGGATTCACTAATCACTTATAGCTAGGGCCCTAACAGGTGCTACCAACCGGGATCAGAGTGGGAACCTGGAGACAACAGCAGTTAAGAGGCAGTTCCTCGCTTCTCACATCCTCCAATCTCCCAGTCAGAAGCCTTTTTATACAGTTTATCGTCATCACCAGGATTTTATGTAGGTTATTGCCATACCCAGGCTTTTATGTAGTTTATTTTCATACCCAGGCCTTTATGTAGTTTATTTTCATACCCAGGCCTCTATGTAGTTTATTTTCATACCCAGGATTTTATGTAGTTTATTGTCATACCCAGGACTTTATGTAGTTTATTGCCATACCCAGGATTTTATGTAGTTTATTGCCATACCCAGGATTCTATGTAGTTTATTTTCATACCCAGGATTTTATGTAGTTTATTGCCATACCCAGGCCTTTATGTACTTTATTGTCATACCCAGGTCTTTATGATTTTCAGTAATATATGCATATTATTTGGAATGCACCTTTTGAGTCGGTCAAACTTGGAAATGGAAAATCATATACTGAATTATTGTGAAAAGAGTGCTTTGTATAAAAAAGATTGGAAACCACTGGTCTAGGTCATCAAATACGATGCGTGTAATAACAATCGCTTGGCTCATTACTTAACTAGATTATTCACAGCATTTTAAAACTGATGTATTTTGACTACTTTACCCCGACAAATAATGACCGACGCGAAAACATCCAGTGAATTGGGAAGGATTTTCTGCCATTTTTCATATTCAACAATCTTTGTGAATGCATTCAATTCATCGGCCTGTTTTATTGTTCATATGAAAGGCAGATACGATCCTGAATTACTTGTGGCACAATCTGTTCTCGAGTCAAAAATTCAATAACAGCGGGAGACTCCAATTTCTGTTTCCGTCAAACTAAATTTTTGTAATTGCTTTTAAAATGTAAATCAAAAGAAAAGATCGAGAGTGATGACAATGTTCAAATCAAACACTTGGAAACACTATAAAATGGATCGGCTTCCACTTGATTGTACAACATGTACTCACTTTTGTTGTTAATGATGTACCGCTGGACTGCAGAGTAAAGAATAATGAAATCAAGCCTACCATCTGGAATAAAGTCTTCGGAGCAACAGAGGAGATAGTACATTAAGGGGTACAATGAAAGCATTGAACAAGAGACTTGATGAGGCCTGTACCAAACTACTGAGTGTGGAGACAAATATAAGTTGGCAGCAATATACATCTAACCAAATGCTCTATGGGGATTTGCCAATGTTGATGACAATAATTGCTGAGTGGAGAGTTAGATTCAATTGACTAGACATGCGCATGAACGAGGAATGCTGGGAATTTTAAATTTACACACACACACACACACACACACACACACACACACACACACACACACACACACACACATATATATATATATATATTTAAAATCTAGCCGCTTTAATTTACATTCTTTTATTTTGTTTCCATCAATTTTGTAATTAGCCAGGAATAGTAAAATAGTGAGACAGTGCGCAAAATTACTGTGGATGAGGCACTCTCCAAATATCTTCGTTTTATATATATATATATATATATATATATATATATATATATATATATATATATATATATGTGTGTGTGTGTGTGTGTGTGTGTGTGTAAACGTTATAGAAATAAAGTCTACCATCTGGAATCTAAATTGAATCCTTCAGAGCAACGGGGGAAGCAGTCTTTCTGTATGTCTGCAGAGTATAGAGTCCGACGAATGAATTGAACAAGAAACTTGATGGAGATTAGACCAAGATGCCGAGAGTGGTGGAAAATGTCTGTTGACAGCGACATATGACTACCCAAAAGCTCTATGCAAACTTGACAAAGCTGATGACATCAATTGCCAAGAGGATAGCAAGATTCAGTGGACATTGCTTGAAAAGCAAGATTAATGACTGGTCACGACTTTGTTGAATTTGATGATGATGATGATGATGATGTACTCAGTTTTGTTGGGATTGATGTGCAGTTGGACAGTATCACAAAAAATGGAGACAGTATGCAAATGAAGTTGACAATCTGAAATTAAAGTTGAATTCTTCAGTGCAACGGAGGTGTCAGTATTTCTGTATGTCTGCAGTGTATAGACTCTGACGAAGGCATTGTACATAAAACTTGATGAAGTCTGTACCAAGATTCTGAATGGAAGACCCTATGTCTAGCAACAGGACTCTGCATCATGTCACAAAAGCAGAAGAAGCCAGTCATTGTGGTCAGACAATTTCTGCAACTACATTACTCCTTACATCTGGCCACCTAACTCCCCGAACTGCAACCCCCTTGATTATTATGTGTGGGGCACAGTTGAGCGAGAGACCAACAAAACTCCTTTTCACACTAAAAATGAACTGAATGAAAAAAGATTATGGCAACATCCACCAACTTAAACAAGGAGACCGTCCAGAAGGGATGCAGGAAATCCGGAAGTCGTCTAGACGCTGTGATTGAAGCCAATGGCGATTTTATTGAATAAATTTCCTCTTTAGTATTCCGAGATATTTTGTGTAATTTTACTATATTATATCTGTTTTTATTTGTGTGTGTGTGTGTGTGTGTGTGTGTTTCATTTAGACGACAATTTATCCATCGCACCCTGTATATTCTGAATTTTTTATGATGGATTTAGGGTATATTGGACTTCTGGTTCCTTCTAAAATATACTTCAACTCTATACTTCTAAAGTCTTGAACTCTGGAATTGTATTTACTATTTATATATTCCCTCGATAGGAGTAGATGAGTTCGCTTATCGTCCTGTTCACACTCGTCTCTGGTCTTTTGACAGAAGTAGCGGTATCATCTTTGTTTCCCGTGTAGGATTGGGTTTTTGATTCCTTGTAAAGTCTTTTTCATTCTCTTTCACTCCAAGTAGCCCCTTGCATCTTAGTGACATTATTGCAGCGATTGGGGTGAATTGATTAGAGAGAGATATGTCACCAATTCTAATTCCAGATCATCGTTTTTGTATTGTTTTTCTACGGCCCACTGGTAATGTTCTCTGGCACAGGTGAAATATAATAACCAATACCGTAGTACAAATAATCGTGTTCTTTTTGGTCGATAACTACTGCTGATTGGTGCTTTGAGCAACATTAGTATTGAACTCGGATGGGAGTTGACAGTGTTCGCCTTTGTGGGGTGGTGGCTACTGTCTTTGTCATTCACCGGAGGTACTGCTCTGGGATTATCTGCAGGCGACCGCATTTTTAATGTGTCGCGAATGTCTGACTGGAATTCCGATATTTTTTTGGGTCGACCCTTGCAACCCTCGCTTGAGGAACAAATAGACTACGCCATCTTTCTGGCTATAAATTCCACGGTTAAACGGTATTAAAACATTCCATAGCTGACACAGCTACACTACCTCTTTACTCATTACTTCAGTCACTAATTTTGGAGCGCTTCAGTTTAGAATACCACTCAGATTATAATAAAGCAATCAAATAAAAAAAATAACATGGAATCACCGTAAAAGAGATCATATTCAGGTTCAATAATCGATCAGGATTTATTTTTGTAGAAATACAAAAAAAAATGTGCCACAAGGTCAAAAGTGGCGATGAGGAAGGCTGGTCATCACCACCTGTATTATCCTAAATTTAGCTAGCCACAATCACTGACCCAAACACACTATACAATATTCCTTGCACCAAAATACCACATTCGTACTTTGTACATCCACCATAATATCTCAAAGTCTCCATGAAGTCCTAACTAAACCCCATACGTACAATTTGTTTGTGGGGGATGCAGAATAAAATAACATTGTGTATATTTTCAATATATATAATACTATATATAAAGAAACTAAACAAAATGTTGTTAGTAATTAAAAAAAAAACACAATATTTAATTGTGGTAGAAATATCAGTTAACTGGGAGAAATAAATGCAGGACTTGGATTGATTAAATATCAATCATTCAACCAACCAACACACACACACACACACACACACACACACACACACACACACACACACACACACACACACAGCTATACATTCATTCAGACACGGCACCAATTACGAAAGAACACATTCGAAAAACGATACGTGTCCCACATCGACTAGAAAACAAACATTTCTGCTGACCTAAAGGGATAGAAGATGGGGAATTAAAATTAAATTAAAGCGTGGAGCAAACGACCAGGACTGAGAACTTTTCAGCACCCACTCGTGTATATTAGTCTAGTCATATGGGCACCGTGAGGTGGCGTAATGGTTAACAAGATTATCTCGCTAGACCAATTGCGACTGAGTAGTGAGTTCGATCCTCACTGGGTGCCCCATAGTTTCGGCCTTGTGCCTCATCTGAGCTACGCTTGGAAAATCGCTATTAGTTTTTGTCATATCAATCTCAGTTTTTTTTCTCTCTGTCTCTCTCTCTCTCTCTCCTTGTCTTTCTTTCTTTCTCTTTTTTCTTTCTTTCTCTCTCTCTCTCTCCTTATCTTTCTTACTCTCTCTCTCTCTCTCTCCTTATCTTTCTTACTCTCTCCCTCCCCCCTCTCTCTCTCTCGTTCTTTCTTTCTCTCTTTCTTTCTCACAAGTGTCTTCATATCTTTCCTACTCAGTTAAGCTTACGGCCATATCATGGTGAAACACAAGTTCTCGTCCGACCACCGAAGTTAAGCAATGTCCAGCCTGGTCAGTACCTCGGTGACTCCTTGGGAATACCAGGTGCTGTAATCCTGAATGTGCGGGTGGTGTAAGGTCTAACGGTTCGGAATTGGAAATCGGAGAGCCGAGTTCCAATTCCAGTTGTGTTTGTTATATTCACTTACGCGCAAATACCCTTGGGAAAGGTATGAATCTATCTCTTCTCCCCCTCCTCAATAGCTATGGATTGATTGGTGGTACTTGTATCAGTAAATAATTATTATCTCCAATATTATCTTACAATCCCAAAATAATTTTCTGGTTTTGAATAACCTGCTGATGGTTGGTAAGCCGTAAAAAATTAGTCCTACTTTATTTTTAATCTTCATTAATGACCTTCTCGATGACATCAGCTCTCAACTTGGTATCTACGCTGATGACATTTACTTCTGCTTTGATGATAGTAAGGCTGATCAGTCCGGCAAGGTCAAAATGACAGCCGATGCCCAAAACGAACTTAAGTCCGTCGTTAACTGAGTCAAAAGATGGCTTGTTAATTTTAGCGTCTCTTTGCTTTCGATCAGCATGGCTGATGCTAACCTACAGTTTATAATTTTGTGTTGGATGTGTAAGGTGGCATAATTGTAATAAGCACGAAAAAGGAATCGACAAGTCTTGTTCGAATTTTAGCTGAGGCTTTCTTTCCTTTGCTTAAAACAAAAAATTTAGACACCTCGATATATTTTGACTCCTCAAAAAATATCCCGTTTTTGGCATACCAGGATTCTTGGTGAAGACTAGAGTAAATAAATGTTTTCTTTTTTAATGTTAATATACATAATAGAGTGGTTTCCCGTTATCTTCGCCATGTTTTTGAATCCAGAGAACTTGCTATATAATTCACAGCGTAAAGGGAATAATAGATTCATGCCTTCCACTAGGACATTAGTGCGAAATAGTCCTACTTCATTTACGAAAGTATGAGGAAACGTAAAGAATATTGATAAATAGAATCGGTAAGCCCATGCTGGAGTAATGGACAGCAGCTTGGATTGAGGAATCGGAGAGCCGAGTTCGAGTTCCAGTCGAATCCATTACACTTAAAGGCTAATACCCTTGGGAAAGATATTAGTCCTCTTCTTCTCCCCACCCAGCTATGGGTAAATAGCAGGACAGACCGAGTTCTATAGCCTTGGATGACAACTGGTCTCCGGCAGAAAGAAATGGCAACCTACTGTGGGAAAAAATCTGCCTCGTCAGTCATGTATTGAAACATACATGATTGCCTACATATGTATCACGCATGGCACACAACTGACTGAAGCCCAGTTTGATTAGATTCCAGCCTATCTTGTTATTTAACTCTGCTATTTATTGAGGGAAGAAATGGATGCATGCTTTTCGCAAGGGCATTTTTGTGTGAAAGTGAATGCAACAGACCTGGCGATAATTTGAACTCAGATGTACAATTCTACTTTCTGCCCCTGTTACGTTAGCCGCACATCGAATGGGTACTTAGGGCGAGGTGGACGTGAACTCTTATATAACAGTCACTCTTAACACGCCGGGTAGTAAGCGTAAAATGCTGATGCACTCATTTGCAACCTTGCCAACCTTGTGTTTATAGCAGCGTGCACAAGTTTCTGTTTAAATTACACAAAGAGCAAACGTACACAGAAATAAGCGTCTGTAACTTTTTGCGCCTACACACACACACACACACACACACACACACACACACACACATATATATATATATATATATATATATATATATATATATATATGTATGTGTGTGTGTGTGTGACGGGTGCGTGTCATTGGACGTATATACTGTGCGGGATATTGAAAAAGACACTTACAGGCCCACACACAAACATACACACACACACACAGATATATATATATATATATATATATATATATATATATATATATATATATATATATATGCATTGTTCTGCAAAGAGAACTTGGAACTTGGCTTGCAGTGCAGTGGTAAATCTCCCAGTTTTCTTTCTTTCACTCTCAAGCTCTTCTCACTGTCATTCCACCCACTCTCTATCTCTCTCTCTCTCTTTAATTTTCTTCCCCTCAGTCTCTCACTCTCTTTCTCACTCATCTACTCTGTCATTCATGTTCTCTTTAACTCTCTGACTTTCTCTCCCCCCCTCTCTCTCTCTCTGACTCAGTCTTTCTCTCTATCTCTCTTTCTAAATCTCTCCCTTTCTCCCTCTCTCTCTCTGTAACTCTCTCTCTCACTCTCGTGTGAATGTGCGTGTGTGTGTGCTTGAATGAAATCCAGCCAAGTACCCTTCTCGTGAGTTAATGCGTCCGTATTAATGTGTAAGCTTTTCTCTGACTGATGGGTGGACGGACGGCTCTCTGGGAACAGGGTAAGAAGAGAAAACCTGAGGTATAGGAAATGAAAGGAAACGGTCGGGGTTGGGGGTACTAGGGTATATTTATAACGTCTTCAGT